CGATAACCACTTGTTGGGGCATCGTGGCACTCATACATGATGCGCAATCGCATATCATAATGAGCGGAACGACGACACGAGATGTGTCGCCGTTGAATGCTGTATAGTACAGCATTCCATCACGAACAGAATACCATTCGGTTGAAAAGCGGTGTTTAGACGACAAGCTCTTCAAAGATTGACTACACGGATTGGATACGTAATCCATTCATAAATCGAAGACGAGACTCATTTTTTGCGTATGCTTCCCGCACGTCATCGAGTAGATTCGGCGACGGAACACTCACTGTTAGTGTTGCTACAGTGGGATCACCCCTACTGTTGGGTTGAGCAGTCGGCTCAAAATCGGGTCGACGCGAAAGAGCATCAGCGACTACATTAATTCGTCCTGGTTTATACTCGACGGAGAAGTTGTAATCCGCGACTGTTACCTGTTCACGAGGCAGTGGCCACTGCTTCATGACACAGCATCTTGAACCAGGTTTCAGTTCGATCTCATGCCGAGTGCCCTTGTCCTTAGGCAGCTCGCATGGCGCGGATTCCGGGAAGACATCCCTGAATTCAACCAAATCCTTATACAAAAGATCTGTCGTTAAAGACTCCCAAGATTGAGACGTGTATCGCTCAATCTGGGTCTTCTCATCGAGGACACTCTCGTCCATAGATGAGCTACTGAGAACCCGTTCGTTCTCAGGAAACGCTTGTGCCGACCTAATATCGGCGACGTACTCGTCCTCTGTGACGAGTACACAGATCTGCTTGATCTTGTCACTACGCAGATCTTGCAAGAATCTTTTAGATTCTAGCGTTGGCAACTTGACCACCTCTGAAGCTGACTTTGGGGCGTCACTAGATCAAGTGTAGAAGCGCTACACTTGATCCGTCATTCACCAAGACATTTAACTGACTCGGTGATTTCCTGGGAAGACACATCCGCAGGTGATTGGGGATACACACCCTCAACATCACTCTCTCGGGAGTGATTGCTCTCAGGAACGCTGGATTTGTTTTCTGTTACGTGGACTACCATGGTCGCGTCCTCTTCGATGGATTGTCTTTCAGTAGATTGGGATTGCTCTACGACCGACTCTGTGATAGTCGATCTCGCTTCAATGTGTTGTTCATCCTGAACAACTCTAATCTCTCTTGTCGAATTCACCTTTCTTGGTTTGCATCCGTGTTCCAGTCCACTCTATCTCTTCGAGGGGTGAACCTTCGGCGCAGCATGTATCTCTACACAAGAGCCGGAAGCTGGTTCCACAGTGCAGTGGCCTTCTATACTGTGATCTTGTGCAATCGTACTAACGACCGTACCACAAGTGATGCCATCGCGCTCACTCGTAGTACATCCACACGCTTGTGGACGCTCCAAGACGTTCATCAGATGGCCATCCGATGAACAAACGGCAGGCATCTTCACGGATTGATGCTGCCAGCTAACCCATGGCCAGTACTTTCTAAGCCATAGAAGACCGAGAATGACATCAAATTTGTCATCCAAATCCAATACGATGAATTCATCATAGTATTGCTTTCCTTCTAGCGTGTAGTGGATTCCCACTTCACGATTGTCCACTGTTACGGATGCGCCTGCAGCAAGGCACACCGTCATCCTCGTTGGAGGGAAATCTCGCTCAACATAGCTGAGACTACTGTCCTCTAGCGAATGGCGTCTAATAAAACTGTTCGACGCCCCACAGTCAACCAGGGCGCGACGTAACATTCCACTTGTCACTACGATCTTCTAAGTGATGAGAGACTCCTCATCACTAAAGGCAGTAACACACAGAGACTGCGTGTTGGGAGCAATCTTCGTCAAGAGTTCTGCAATTTCTCTTGACGTTGCTTAATCAGCAGGGTGCTCCGCCCTACTGACCCTGTTTGTTTCTTTGTGGTCCGACTTGCTGTCGCAGCTTGGCGACATGGTCGGACCCACGCCTCGGACCCTTCCTTGGCCAACGGTGGCCATCACGTCCTATCTTCGGACGTGTCGCAGTGCTCGGGAAACTACAATCATTAGCTTACTGTCCATCTTCTGACAGCGATGGCACCTTGCGGTTCGCTTGTGACTCAGAGAGCGAGAGTTTTCGCTCTCGATGTAACAGAGGTCCATAGGTTCGGGACCTCCTGTTTCCTGTCGTCTAGTCGATAGTCTGACGAGTTAGCCTGAGACTGTCTCAGGCTGAAATCTATTTGTTCCGCATAGGCTATCGCCTTTTCCAGCGTATGGAAGTCCTCTCGAAACATGTAGGTCTACACCGGTCAACTTACAAGGCCGTAGATGAACACGTTGGTGAGTGTGTGCTCATCAACATGGTTTTCCGTGACGCTACTTGCAAGGTAGAGCAGGTGCTGTGCGTAAGCGTGCACGTCACGCTTACCGTACTTGAGCCTCAAGAGTGCAGAGAGTGCTCTGAACTCGGCTCTCGTCGGCTTAAACGTCTCTTTGAGACGTGACTTCAAGATCTCCAACGACTCAACACTTTTGAGTCGTGAAGCTTGAGCCCTAGGACCCAAGTCTTTGCTTGTCCCGTTAAATTTGACAGGGCTAAGGTGACTTGCATCTCGTCACCCTCGATGTGACGGGACCTGATGGCATCGTCTAACTCGACGAACCAACTCAAAAGGAATCTTCATCTGTTCCCTTGTGCTTTGAGATATCGATCTTCAGGGTTTCGGGTAGACGCATGTTCGTCGGCCTGCTCATCGACTGATGAGAGCCTTGCTGCAGTAGCAAGGCTATCTTCTGTCATTCGACGGCAAGTTGTCCTTGTAGTAACTTGTTAATAGCAGCATGTTGCTGGTCTCTATTTAGAGACTCCGACATGCCACTGATGGCGGCTTCGCCCATGAGCACACTCATGCGGCCGACTACCTACCATTCTGAGTCACTCAGATGGGAGTAGCCTTCACGTGTGACGTGAAAGCTGTTGTCTTCTACGTCCAACGTGTTCATGTTGGACGGACACTAAGTAGTCGTTGGACGGACTACGAAGTGTTTCCAGGTGTAACGGGGCACCCTAGAAGCTGATCTACTCAAAGTAGTAGTTTGAGTAAAGGGTAAAAAGAGAACTGTATTTAATATAGTTAAGCTATCAATATAACTTCAGTCTTTATCTAACTCTACTAATTTACATTGTCGTAGGACGACAACTTGCTCACCACTCATTATGCGCGTCTAGCAGCGATTGGTGGTAACCTTGGTTGACGGTCTTTTATTCAGTAATCTTTGAGCAGCACATGGATATTATCCTGAAAAGGGGATTAAATTCCTTCAATATTAACCATCTCGGATAATATTGATGGGATATTGTCACGCTAGCCAATCTCCCTATTGACACCGTTTGGTGCCAATATCATGTAACGGGCTACCCCGTTACAGTCCACGTCTGGCAGGTACTTGTATTGTTTCTCTCCGGTGCACTATCGACCAACTTATCGAAGTGAAAGTGTCTTAAGATTACATTCCATATAAAAGACTGATTAATTGTAGAAGATTAGTTCATGATGCATGCGTCTAAGTAGTCATGAAGTCGTTATGCACGTCATGCCGACCTAGATTGGTGTCATAGCCTGTTGCACTTCCAAAACTGGACGAGCTAGGTCCTCTTAGGCGTTTTTGCTTGAGTGAACGCGTATCCACTAACGCTATACGTTGTCAACACTTACGCAACTAATCCAGACGAAAAGCTATACCGTCCGAGTAGTCCATCAAAAACTTCACCCAAGCCGGTATTTACATCGCATTGTTTGTCATTCATGTCTTCATCGAGACGACAAAGTACGTTCGAAACTTGTAGACAATATTACGACGATTTCAGTTCACATCGACCTGTCCACCTCGCCGGTATTGGATTGGTTACGGTGTCCGGCAAGCCAAATTGTCGCAATGACAAGCACTAGGTAGCGCTCATTCAGGTTACCTCCCTCGTCGGATATGGAGCAAGCTTTTGTGCCTAAACTCACATCTTCTCAAATGACACATACAATAATGGCTGATGTTTCCGCTCAAGGTGTGTGTGTAAGACCACAGAGCCACGGACATGAACTGCGCGATGTACGGCAATTGCCCGTTCTGCTATATGCGCGTACAGAATACGTCAATTAAATTTGTACAGACGAATCAAATCAATCAGAGCGAATGCCTTTTGACGATGATGCGCTAGGAAGAAGCGACATGTTGGAAAGGACCAACGCCATCTTCAGATTGTTGTAGGTGAGCGGGGGGATGCATAATCCAGCACCAGATTTTACATATCTGGCCGTCGTCAGGTTTAAGTCACAACCTCTAAGGTGATTGCTTGCATGAACGTGGTCACATTTTTAGTGCTGGCCTCGGCGTTAATCGAGAAGCGACAAAAAACCGCGCATGAGCATTACGCCACGTCAATACGTCAGCATTTCTTCAGACAGAAAACCACTGGAACAGCAGAACAGAGACTTGTGTATTTGCCGTCATACCACTACTGCAACAGCGCTGCGACAAATGCAGTAAACTGAGCCTTAGCAAACGCTTTGTAGACTAGACGCGCAAGAAACGTCGATTGATACTACAGCGCTACTAATGACGCATCCCAGTGTCGAATATCAGTGCGTGTATAAAGTCTGAACGACCAGCGGCGTAACAATGAGAGTCCGCCGCGTATCTCCTCGTTGCACACGGGTGCAGCGAATATGCCTCATTACAGTCGAGTTTACCAAGTGTTGATAGCTGGATGACAACTGACAGTGAATCAAAGAAGCACTTTGAGCCTTTTTCCATGTAAACGCAATTGGTAGCGCGTAAAGTAAAGCTGAAAATACCGCCGTGTCAACACTTATGAAAAGAGATTGACGAAAGCTGATGGGAGGGTGTCTATGGAACTGGTCGATGTGGCCGATGCATCCACGTCTAGGCATGTCGATACCTCCACACACTATAACATAGCAGTTGCGCACGCGACGTCAACTTATTCTCACAGCACGACTGTCTTCAGCCACGACCACGTCTCCTCTTCTTGTCACTTTGGAGACAGTGGCTTGGCCTCATCACCAAGCGGCAAATAGTATCGATTCTCTGGGTACAACACATAGTGTTGCAAAATAAATATGCCATCCACGAGAATGCTCACGAATCCAAGTCCGAATTTCACCGGATTGCCTGTAATTGCCGTCCAATCATCCGTTGCCACCACGTCGAGCATTTGTTGGCCCATGGAGAGTAACCCCCCAGCAATATCCAGAAGCACGTTCCAGATCGTCCAACCAACTGTGGACTTGCGCTGGTAGTTGAGTGCAACTTGCGGCAAGCACTTGACCATCGTCGTCATGAGTTTAATGTAGCTCAGAAAGTACAGCAGATTCATGACATTGATCACCGAATCCTCACGGTTGCCCAGGACGGCAACTGCAAGAGCAAAAACTGCTGCGGCTCCAAGGGCCCCTCCGGTCCACAAGATTGTCGGTCTACTGACTCGTTGGCCACCTCGCGGGTAGATGATACACTGGAAAAGGGAGATTGCAACCAGCACAGCCGCATGGAGCGAGAAAAAGACGTCGTTGAGCTCCACTGCATTGCGATGTCCGTCGTGCTGGTTCATGTATTGCAGTTGCACGCTTTCACTGTAGTAGAAAGCGACGTTGAAGATGGAGTAACAGATGAATCCCAGCATGTTGAGTACTGTAAAGTCCAACGAGAGCCCGACGACGGACTGTCGCTCGTGGTTGACAAACAATTGGGGGTAGAAACTCACGCTCCAGCAGAAAAAGTAGAGCCAACCTAGGATGCTGGAGACGCGGTTCCAGGGCTTGGGGATGTGCGCGTTCGCATCCAGGGCGAGACCGAAGAGCAGACCGAGCACTAGAATGAGTAACGAGATGACAGCAGCGCGATGGTGCACGGAGAACTCCGAGCAGATCGTCATAACTCGAGGCGAGAAGAGAGGGAATGAGGTGTCGTGGCGGTCGCGATCTTTGGTTCCCAAGGATTTCGTTGACACGAGTCCAGCAAGACGCCGATTCATTGATGATCTAGTGGACGAATCAGACGGTCAAAAACCGTCGTGTCGATATGACGCAGTTCGGAATACCGACGACGAAACGAGGATATGCTGATTACGTATGCAATTCGCTAACGGTCCAGTTATCGGTATATCGGTAGATAGAAGGGAGTGATCGATATCGTTGAGGATGCAATTTAACGATGTGACGATGTGACGACATTTTGGTCAGACTGACGATACCGAGTTGACGAGTGCGGTTTGTGTACATGAAGATGGTAGGTAAAAAGTCCCTGTTCATCACATTGTGCTTTTACCAGCGTTAGAAATGTTGATAGCAAGCCTCATTTCTAAGCAGACTTTTGCCAATGATTTTTTTAACATCACTCAAGTAATTTGTCAAAGGATTATTAATGGGAGGTTTGTGTTACAACCATCCCCACTGCCCGTCGCCCATTCATTGCCGCCGACTCGAAAAAGAAGGAGACTTGGTAAGGGTAGAATCCATGGAATGATCTCAACGCAATCAGTCGTAAAGCTCACTGTTCCGGCGAAAGGCTTTACACATGCCTTCTCTGTAATGCAATTCTTTCTTACACATTATTTGCGATTCAGAGGTTAAAACTACACACCATCGGTGCCTTCATCTTCGGGAGAAGTGTGAGTGTCCCTTAAAAAGGTCCGATCGTCAAGGTCAAGTGCAACTACTGATCACTTAGTTGGCGACCTGAGTAAGTTTGCTTGGAGGACCTCGTTGCACAGGTATCCTGCGTTGTACTGCTGGTTATTTGCGATCTCTCAGCTAACAGCATCACACAGTCTGCACAGGTGCTCCTATTGAAGTGAGGTTTTAGGCTGAAAACCTTGTCAGCAAATAGTCGAAATTTTTTTGGTGGGTGCACTGTAAATGCAGATCTCTTTTCTTCTACATAGTGACTAGCGTTTTCCCTCTGGCACGACAAGTCCATCGCATTTTGATGAAATCACCCAGTCTGGTCACTCTCCACAGAGAGAACCTTCTCTGTGGAGCTGTAAAATTACCTGTATAACTGTCAAAGCCGAGTGAAACGATTGCAGCTGGTAAAACATGCCAAGCTGATTAAAGTGGTAGAAAGTGGTAATGCCGTTATAAAAACTTGGCAAAAAGAGCTGATCACTGATAAAAGGTCACAAGACTTCCCACCTACCATCCCTATGTGCACATCATGGGTGGAAAAACCCGATTTGTTTTGCGAACTCATCGGGTTTTCGGTTTAGCCTAAACACCCAATGTTTGGACAAGTTTTTTTTTAATTTTATGAATCAATTTCGTTGGGGTTGCCTTCTCCATTCAATAAATAGTACTCCGCGGTCTGCATGTCGTGGAAGGCGCTCATGTTGCTCTAAAAAAGGCAAGCTTTTCATACAATACTACGCTAAGCGAATTACGATGCTTTAGATGGATAAACGCCACCATGGAAAGGTATCGTTCCGATGCAGCGCTGGATGTTGCCATCGAGAACAGCTTGACTGCCACGGACTGCAGATTTGGCCATTGGACAGCATCCGTATCGACAGTATCGCAGTGGCACCTTCGCCCTTTTCGTCAGCATCGAAAATAGGAATGAGTATAAAGCCTCTCATGTTGCGCCGAGATAATGAAGTCAGTAGATTCGGTGTACAAGGACCTCTGTCTAGTGTCGTCAACGGGAATGGTGTCATCTATGGGAGTTTTACAAGGCTTGTCATTGATTTTACAAAATTGGGTGGCAGAAAACTATCCCCGAGAAGGCGAGGGTCGAGGATGTATGACAGTTTGTGCGCTACACCATACATTAATTGGAAGCAGGGAGCCGCGAGCTTTGTCGAATACTGCAAATCCAGCTGAGTGATGACTGCTCATTCATAGGCAGCAGTGAACTTGTCTGAGAGGGCATGAAAATCCGGCAGAACTTCTGAATTTATGACACTGTCAGACTGGAGCTTGACCATTAGCGCGTCGGTAGGATCGAGGATGGCAATGGCCTTTTTCAGCTTCACGACGAATTCATTGTCAGTGACAAGGTCCTTGATCTTCTGTCGCTCAGACTTGTACGCAACCGTACCGGACGCAAACCCGCGAGCGCTAACGATGCTGTGGGTCAGGCGCTCTGATGCAAGCATAGACGCACACATGGATTGAACGATACCCTTACGAGTAGGTTTCGGGTCAAACGATGGACCATAAAGGACTCAGCCGTCTTCGCCTCTTGCGGGCGTGCCTTCAAGACATGATGATTGAGGAAAAACTTTACCAGATCCTTGCACGCGGAAACAAAGAAAAGCATGTACACAAATGGATATCCCACATGATACGTCGCCTCATTGTCGTTGTCCTTCATATATTGCTGTGCACTAAGACCCACACTAATGCAAGGGACGCATCATCTCCATAAATTCTTCGTGTTAATTTGCATCAGTGATGCTGCTCGTTACTTGCTTAGGTTTGATAAGATGACTTTATACTCACTCACTTTCTTCCTGACATCTTTTGATTTCAGGACATCGCTAACTTGGCTGAAGACCGTCTAAAATGATGTCCACCACACGATATATTTGCGCAAAAAAAGCTCAATTGTATACGATTACGACAAAAATGGATGTTAAAATGCAGCTGATGTGATATTGCTACCTCTAAACTCGACTCATAATTAGCCATTCATGTAGCGTCATATTGAACTGACGGGATTTTACCAGAAAACAGAGGGGGAATAAACGGCTCCTTTTTATATATAAAAACTAAAAATCATGCAAAAGAAAACGTGGTGCCAGCCCTTGCGTTCATACACATGACACGTGGCTCGTGACGCCCACTGCATCACGAGCTGCATCTCCGTTGCGTGTCGCAACAATTGACAACGTCCCTTTGTTCAACCTGCCGACACAGGAATTTTTCGCCAAAGAAAACGAAGAGGCGGCAGCAGCACCTTGAGTTTTTTTTACCACTTAGTCGCTAGTCAAGGGTTTTCATTGTTTTACCCGGGTGCCTTGCTGAGCGCTGTCTACCGTGAACAGCGCGTTGCAGAAGCAAGCCCTCGCAGAGAACCGTAAGATCTCCTCTACTTGTTCCAAAAGCCAGACGCTGCGATTTTCATCAGAACGCTCACGAAGGTTCAAAGTTTGACAGAAAGCTTTACATGCGGATTGTGCAACTTCAAGGGCTCTCCCTGCCGTCAGTGCCGAGCGCCAGAGGGCCCGTCAAGCCGTTCGAACATTGACCCTGTTCACGAAATGGTGGTAATTCGGAGGCCTTCGGCAGGGCGAGGTAGATCAGAAAGCTGTGATGGTGACTTGACTACCGTGTCACATGAGTCAGAGATGCCTTGCGTCGTCCCATCACTGGTCCATGTCGACCCACCTTGCACGCTTGCTCGTGCTTCACCGAACGCTGCCGAAGACAGAAGGCCTCCCAGCTTCGCTTTCGATTGAATCCGCTCTTTTTTTTCAACAAGAATAGATAAAACGCTCTTCGCCCATCGATGTCTTCGATTCCTTCTCGCGCGTTCGTCATCAGCGAACAAGTCGTCGCTTCAATGGCAGCCAGCCAGCCACCTCCTCCTCCTTCAGTTATCAATTTGCGTGCTCGACGTGAGGTAACGATTGTCCTCTGTGCGCACAATCCACGAAATCCGATACAAAGCACCCCATTGTCAATGGCGTTCCACAATGAAAAAGCGTCCCGCCACCTCGCTTCCCAACGCAAGTCGTGCAAACAGCGCAGAGTGGAGCAGCGGCTGCGGGTCAAGTGTTTGATCCCTCGCTCGCACTTCCTTGTATTCCCCGGCATCGGCTCGTTTCACCAGCAGACGAGGAGCAAGTACCTTTGTCAAAAGGACCACGTGTCTGAGTCAGACGAGGACGATCTACTGGGGTCCGATGACGTCGTCATTACGGACGAAGACATCCGTTCCATTCGCGACTCGGTGGACAAGATGCAGCAGCAACTGAGTCGTGGCATTCGGGATATTGAGGAGATTCGTGCAATGGTGAAGGAAGCGGCGGTCCAAGATGCGCGCGAGATGAATGCACGACGAGCGCAACTTAACGACAGCAGTCAAACTAGTAGCATATAACGATAGAATGCTTGTCCAGGTGTTCAATGATGCCTCTCTTTGACACCTGCGGGTGTCTGCATTGATTTATTATCCTCGTGCACGATACATTTGTGGAAACAAAACTCCTTTGCCGCGTTATCCTTTCGGTTATACTCTGCCTATTAGTCACTTGACCGTCATGCAGTGGTGGATGAAGGCCGGGACACTAACACAAGTGTAAGTATCATGCAAGTCGGATCGGATATTCCTATAGATGGAACGAGAGCGCTTCGTCTGATGCTCGACTACCAAAATGCGTGCTAACCCTGGAATAGCGAGGTAGAATTCAGAGGTGGCCCGATTAACTCGAGTATGTAAATGCAAGCTATGCGGGGCAATCACCATCGTATCGGCGTGGTAGACGATGGATTATTGGCACCCACTCTCCTCTACTCTTCACACCGACCATTGTCGGGATTTCTTCGAGACAGTTCCATCGCGACGCTGCGTCCAGGAAGTTTCTTCCTGGATTGGCAAGTTGACGTCAGAGGAGATTGACGATCCGGCAACATCGCTGACTCGAATGCTGCACGGGTTCGTCGGAGCGTCGTCTGGTCGAATTGAGAGGGAAAAATGCGCTGTTCAGGCAATGATGGAGTAAAAGACTTCTCCTTGTGTTCGAGGTAAGCGTTCGGACGTCCTACTACCAAGGGTTGGGACCGGTAAGAACGAAAAGGACATCAGATCGGACACGTGGGTGACACTAGCGGTGAACAATTGCACTATCTCAAACCGTGCCATGCACTACTTGCTGTCCCGTGTACAGGTCCGGCTAACCCAGCTCGCCACATTTGCACGATGAGCAGCACTAACAGCTTTCGTAGTCCTGACAGAGTTCGTTGCTAAAAATACAGCCGTCCTTCCTTTCTCTCTTTAGTCGCCACCCTTTCGAGCAGAACAAGTTTACTTTGTGCCTCACTGACAGTAAATGACCACACGCTAAACTCCTGTCCCCACCAGCTTGCGAAGCTTTTCACAGCGTGGGTTGATTATTTCGCATAGGTGGAGCTACGGTTCTGCTTCTTTCGATGGGGTATGTATGTAACATGTGAGCGAATATTGTGTCGACTGCAGACTTCGACAGCCAAACGCTTAGAACAGAGACACAACATGCTTCGTTACCAACTCTAGTTTGCTTTTGCAATACAACTACGCAGGAACGGAATGCTGGCGATCGAATGGTACGGTATGCATCACAGGGACATTGTTGCGCAACCGGAAACTATCAAGGGAGTGTACTCAAACGAATAGCCGCTCTCGAGTGCAGAATCAATTGTCTACCCCACGATCTGAGATATCTCTACGTTCTAAAAGGATAGACCTGGAAGCAAATGCTGCACGGCGACAACTCGTGGATGGCGTCGAAATACATTTAGTAACTATTAAAGCTCTTCGCAAAACAGTCGATAGCCCTGAAGATGATGGATGCCACTCTCGTTTTTTAGCTCGAGTTCGATGCGTCGAGAAACTGAAATGAGCCAACACAACAGACGGATCGTAAGAACTCAACCCTCATTTGCATCTGCAAGCGTGCAACCGTGATCTACGAGTCAACGGTATTACTGCGCCGTTACGACATCAAGCTTTTCGGTTACTCGAAAGGTATCTATCTACCACCGTTTGGATGTCAAGTATCGCGAATCTGGGTGTGCACCTTAACGTCGGACTCGTACATGTCTTTTTTTGTACTGGCACGTAAGTTACCACCTGATGCAGTACCGAAAAGCTACAGCACAACCGCAATCGAAACGATGTGCAAAACCTCCTGAGGATCGTCGCTACCCTCGTGATCACGTGTCGAGCTGATTGTGGAAAATGTTCAACTATATATTATTTAATACGCTTTTGCTGGAGTGGACATGCATCTAGAGTACTTGTTGTTTGATCGGTTCGAGATGTTTGAGCAAGGTGGTATGTTGCATCTACGTCTCGAGCACCCAGCTCGACTTGCATGCTTCCTCGCACGAGATTCGCTTGTTCGGGTCGGGATGGAGTAAAGACGCCAGCAGGTATGCTGCCAATGGTGATAATGAAGACGGGAAGAACCACGTGGGAAACGCCACGGAACGACGCGGCTGGACAACACAGCCATTGCCAGTTGGTCCAGGTTTACGCATACTTGCATCAGACGAGAACGAACTCTTGCCGCTTGTCGATGGCGAAGACGCTCCGCCAGCTTGGTTCTGGTTCCACAGCATAGTGGAGCTGTTCAGGATGAGCCCCAGCATCGGCGCTGTCGAATGAAAATTCGAATGAGTAGGAGACATCTCCGGCTGCTGGTGCTGCTGCTTCAAGCTGCTGGAGCTGCCTCCAGCATGGAACAAGTTGATGTCGAATAGTAGTCTACTCGTGTGAGGATCAACAGGCAGCGATCGCAGCCACTCGCCGAACTTGAGATACCGAGGGCACGAAGCCAAATCCGGCCCAAAAGGTAAGGTGCCAACCAGCAGTCCGTATAAAATAACGCCGCTACTCCACATGTCTGCTTTACGTCCGTCATATCCGTAGCGAGCGTTCTGCAAAACTTCAGGTGCCACGTAGTGAGGAGATCCAACGATCGAATTCAGTCGTCGGAAGCGCGATGGCGACAGCCGGCTCGTAATTTCACTCTCGTCATTGTTGTTGTGGTCGTCAGCACTCGTTCCGCTGCTGACAGCCGCAATAAAGTGGGCTGATAAGCCAAAGTCGGCGATCTTAAGCACGTCCGAGTCGCTCAGTAGCAAATTTTCAGGCTTGAGATCTCGATGCACAATGCCAAGTTGATGGCAATATCGCACTCCTGCCAGAAGTTGCTTAAAGTACGTCCTCGCCACTTCTTGCTCCACGCCCGCATCCCTTCGAATGCGATCAAACAGTTCTCCACCATACGCCAGTTCCAGCACGAGGAAAATAGTCGACTTCGATGGTTGCACGAACTCCAACACATTGTACAGCTGCAGCACATTCTCATGGCCGCTGCCAATCCTCTCGCCAGTCACGCTATTGCCCGTCAACTTGTGCATGTGCGCAATCTCTCGGTAAATCGTCTTTCGAGCTTGCAAGAACGCGCGGTACTTGGCCGGAAGCGATGGAATGACGTACACCACGTCATTCACCACCACCTCGTCATTGTCGTGGTTCTCACACCGATGACTCCCTCCTCCTCCTCCTCCACCTTGTTTCGTCTCTTCCTCCTCTCCTCTGTATTTCCTTCCACCTTCTTCTTCCTCTTCCTCTTCTTCTTCAACTTGTTGCAATTGACTCGAAGCCGTCGACGAAACTGCCGCCGCTGCAGCTGTTGGGCGAGAAAATTCCTGCACCGGCTCTTCACACGACAACAGCACGCTCGCTGACCGTCTCCGGTCCGTCCGGCCCGTTTGCCGTCTCCTCTGCTCCCTCAACTCGTCGTCGTGGTGGTCCAAGAGCCACAGACTCACACACATTTCCAGCGTGAGCTCCCGAAGCCCGTACGACGTCGTGGTACTTGAACTTCCAGCAGCAGCAGCAGCCGCTGTTGGCGTCACTGATGACGTCATCGCCGCAGTCGTCGAGCATCCGATCGCGTAGCACGCGAGCAGCTCGCGTCGGCGTGGAAGGTGCACCCAGTAGACATTCTCCAGCGTCATGTTCCGCACGTTGCCCAGTATGGGGACGCCCTTCTTCACGATCTCCGCGCGCCGGAGACTCGAGGGACTCGTGAGCTTGTAGCCCACGGGGTTCAGGATCTTGACGGCCACGGGGCGCTTCAGCCGCTGGTCCAGAGCCTCGTAGACGACGCCGGCGATGCCGCCGCCCAGGTAGTTCCCCATGGCGAACGCGCTCACGCCGGGACAGGACGAGAGCGTGATGTGCTGGCCGTCGAACGTGGCGACGCGCTCGGGCGAGACGTTCGCCTCGCTCAAAGGCATGTACTTGGTCTTGAGCAGCGCCATGCGAGCGGTTTTATTGCGACTGCGAGGCGGGTGTGGTGGGTCGTAGTGGGATTGGGTTTTTTAGGCTCGTGGCTGGGATGAATGGAAGTGTTGTGGACCGGCGGAACGCGAGAGATAGACAGACGGACACACACAGACAATGGCTGAATGAATACACCCGAGACGTCTTGGAGTTCGGGTCGTTGGTGGGTCCTTTTTGCGATAAGTTGACAGGACAAAAGAGAGGGGTGGTGAATTGAAAAAACCCACTGCGAGTTTTGGACCCCTAAAACGGGGTCGTGGATGTACACTAGTCGTTTGTATGGCACGCTCGAGTGCGCAGCGCACTTAAGCTGAGCGAGGCTGGGTGACTCGCGGTCTGGCTGTTCTGCGAGAATGGTTCGAACGGTTGCAAACGGCGTCGTTTTTGTGCGCCACACTGACTCCCTGACGCCTTCGTTTGGATCATCAGTCACTGCAACAAGGTCCTCCTCGCTACGTTCTACTTGACCGAAAAGCCTTTGGAGCTTCGTTTTTATCAGCGTTTCGAAATCGAATACCGAGCTACGGACGCGTTCCTTGCAGTGCTCAGTTTCTCCTGAAAAAAACGCATTTGGTTTTCGCCATTGTACTGCACGCCGACGACGCACGGCTGCTGAATGTAGTTGCCAGAGCGGCGGAATGGTTGCATAAACATGCACCGTCGAACGAGCACGCCTTCGGCGACTGCGATTTGAAGCTCCTTCCAGTGCATCCCAGGTTGTAACAGAGTGCCAGTGCGTTGCGCTTGCTCTAAACGTTAAGTAACCACGGCAGATCTCTTCATTTACTCATGTCGCTTCCAATCCCTTGACTTATTCTGCAAGCAAAGGCCTCCCAACAGACCACACCTACGATCGCGGAAAATGATCCTCAGAACAAAAGCACAGTTTGACTGTGCTTTTGGAGTAGACAATGTTGAAGATGATGTTAAAAATGACGACGAGCCTGGAAAGCGAAGCCGGGAGGGAAAGATGTGAACGGCCAAAGAACACTATGGAATTAGTTTGGTAGCGTAACCGGCTGAGCCGGTTTCATCATTCTGCCCCTACATTTAGATCGGTAATTGCCTATTTTAGCGGAATCTGTCCAATGTTGTGCTTTGACGATTGATTACGCTTTTAGTTAATTGAACATGCCGGTCTTGATCCTAACCAAACAGCGAAAACCTATGTTTCCCTGTTTCTGTTTCTTAGCAACTTAAGTAGAAATGCAAGCCTAGAGATGCCGAGCATCTATCTCCGGTGCATTACAACATTGCCGGTATAATTGTTACTTTCTCTGTTTAATACGTTCGTCCATTTGGGAAAAACACTAAAAAAGGTCATTAAAACTTATCATGCGCTCTTTTAGTCAGCGATAGTGGCGGATTTTCCATACAGCCGAAAGTCGAGAAATAAATACTTAGAGTCCATCATCTTTGAAAGGTTTGACTTCGATTGCGACACGTTCAAGCAATACATTGTCAAATGAGAGGGTTTGAACAGGTATCGCCTTTAGTGCCTGGCTTTCTAAACCGCCTGTAAGATTGGTTATTACACCTCAATTAGACTCGTCGTATAAATTACCTCGCACTTATTTGCCCCTGAAATTGGTTTCCATAGAGAATTGGTATATTCACACCCCTTTTCCTTGTTTTCACATCCTTTGCATACCTGATATTGCCCATATTACTCATACTTACACTCCGAAGACCCTCATAAGGTGCTACACTTTTTAACCCGATCATAATTTTGCACCTTTTTTCTGTTAAAGTTTGCATTTGCTAAAAGGGAGCGCGCGCGTTCTGAGATAGATCTCTTGATTGAGTTTATCGCGCGAATGGAGGGCTTAACCTGGAATGTAGGGTTGCCCGTTCGTGTGATATTGTAAGAGATTATGGCGAGGACGTAAAATTGTCATTGTCGAGGTCATCTCTGTGCGGTCAACTCATAGCAGTATGTACTTATTTACAATACTAATGCGATTCAAGAGGCGATCTATATTCTCCGCCCTACGTAAACGTTGTACACAACCCACACAAATCGGATGACCTATATTAATGTAATACGTACCAACGCGGCCTCTCTGCCCAGATCTGTGTGTCAAACAGTTCTTCTGGCCCATGCGTATTGCTTTTAACATGATGATCATTGCTCGGGTCATCGGTTCCGTACTCGATAGCGTCAAGAACCGCCTTAGCGTCGATAGCTCATTACTCTACAGCCGTCCGCATAAGTCATCTTCATTATATAAAGACAAAGCTTACCTGCTGCTGGAAAGAGATTTTGCATGTCTGAGCGAACAAGACCATGACAAAACTGGCAAATAATTGTTGTTGCAGTCATAAGCTATGCCAAACTGCTGACAGCACAATATTTGTTCCTCACGAAGACATCCGATACTCTCGAGCAAGCAAGCATGGATGGATGGATCGTAGACAACAAATCCAAACGTTTACCTGTAGAATAACAATTGTTTTATACTCAAAAATTCTGGAACTTCGAGCGTCAGCAATCAGTACACACTTAACTTCGTCACTCGAGCGGAGGTATAGCTCTGATGTCACAGCAATAGCTTGCCGAGTACGGTAAACCATTCTCCACCACACCCCTCAACTCGAACTCGACAAGATTTACTGATCCATTGCAAGTATCTACACGAGCGTTTGACAACTTTTTAATTGCAAAGTACCGGTGTTTAATAACCTACCTGTTTTTCTTTTCTGAGCAAGCTTGAAGGTTCCACCAAACAAGTAATGACCTACCTGCTTTTAATTTCACAGCAAACTCGAAGCTGCACCTGAACTTCTTACTGCCCTTATTGCGTGCAATTTCTCCACCTAAAGCTACCATGGAGGTAATGTCTTGCTTTCATTGACAATCATGGCCTTGCAGCTTTGTAGTAGACTCGTTTTGGCGCTATTTTCGATTACGGGTGATCGAGTACCTGCAGTGACCGACCCATGCCTGGTTTGCGTAACTCGGCATCGATATCATTATTCCATCTTCCTCGTGGAAGAAGGTAAATTTGCGCCGAGGCGAGAATGGCGTCATCGGAAAGGACATCATGCAGAAGAAAAAGAAGACTAAATACAAGTCCTGTCGGTTGGAGAGACATTCATGTCATTATCATGCTCTCACATACGGGAGAAACACGTACGCTGGCAAGCGACAAGGCGCTTTCGTAACTAGCGGGAGCGGCAAAGAAAGGCGTAAGATATGAGGGTATGTTTAGCACAAGTAGACCGTGGCGACTAGGACCACTTATCCACTTGGCAACGCGTTTATACTGTCAGTAATTTGCGTGGTTTTGTACAATGTTTACGTAGGGCGGGGAATATAAGGGCGGGGAATGTCAATAGCTTCCAAATTAACACTTTATAACGCAATTGCAAGTATCTTTATTTACCACAACTGTTCAAGCTACTATCTTTAAGCTCTTGTCACGTTCCTTTGTTTCTCCTTTGCACTGCCCACGAAAAAAGGCGCCGCTTCTTAGTCTGGACCGAATCCTTCGTGAAGCTCTTGAGATCTACAAAACGGGTGTACAAAGCAGCTGAACAGCATTCATTTGTGCACTCAGTTCGCTTTACAACGTCATCGTGGTCAGCTTTGCAACTCTCGCAGTAGTTGGCGTCGAACAAACGCGCAAAAAAAATCTATTCCGAGCACGTATGAAACGATTAGATACAGGTGCAGGCATGAAACGATAAGCAAACAATCTCATTGCGTATTTTCGATAGTAATGCGTTCGATTGTGAGCGAAAGGGTGCCACATCGATAATTCAGGCAGGTTTTTAAGACGAGACTGTGTGAACGGTGTGCTGCCGGCCTCTCAATCTGTTGCAGACTTCCTTATGCATCTTGGTATGGCCTATTAATGGAGCAGCAGTATGTATCCTATAACACGAACCGGAACGAAGGATATTTGTGTAAAGCAGTCTTTATACTACAAACGTCCATATTATAGACACATGTTATTTTAAACAAAATCGTGATGTGCCTGTTGTGTAAGTAATGCATGAAAAACTTACGTCTATCATGGTCGTAATCAGTAAAAAAAATCGAGCTATTTGTTAATTTTTTATAAGGGTAATAATTATTGATAAGGATGTGAGTATCGAGTTTGACAGGAATGATGTAGAGCTAAGGAAAAGTGGTGCGATGGGGGAATATATCAACTCCCTAAATCTGCGATAATATATATTCGAATGTATCATGAGATAGTGGAGCAAGCTCTAAAGCAAGCTCTGGAGCTGCCCATTATAAGTAATCCAGTTCGTAGGACTGTATCAAGATGCAATTATTGTACAGCAGCCGTCACTGAAGAATGATTATGATGCTGATAATGTAACGGGGCACCCTTTGTTTGAAGTGCCACGAAGCTTCACGTACACAAGTACGTGCAGAGGAAGCTATCTACTTGAACGACTCGATCAAGTAAGGTAAAAAAAGAGAACTGTGTTTAATATAGTTAAGCTTTTAATATAAATTTAATCTTTGTCTAACTATATTAAACTACGTCGTCGTATGACGACAATCTGCTCACAACTCGTTGCGCGCGTCTAGCTGCGATTAGTGGCAATCTATGGTTGAAATGTCTTATATCAACCAATCTTGGAGCAGAACATAAATATTATCCAAAAGGGGATAATATTCCTTCAATATTATCCATCTCGGATAATATTGATAGAATATTGTCATGCTAGACAATATTCCTTTTGACACCGTCGGTGTCAATTTCATGTAACGGGCTACCTTGTTACATTACCCCCCTTAACCGTCAATCACCCATTGATCAAATTGGAATTGATTGGGACAGGGTGACCACCGTTGGATCACTCTGGGAAAAAGAGCACTTGTTAGTCAATTTCCATTTATTTTCCGATCCAAATTTAGCATCAATCATTGTATAATTTATAGGATTTTTATAAATTGAACTATTCCAAAACGCATGGTTTCAAAAACCAAGCGAGCTGCTACTGCAGCAGCAAGAAGGGCGGCTGCACGCATGCGTTCGGCCGCGGAAAGTGCCTCTCACGCTTCAGCAGCAGGTGATTCGTCGCCTGTTATCGATAATTCTCCACGTGGTGAGTAACCTCGTGCGACAGGTACGTCCGTTGCATCTGCAGCGAGTACTGCGAGTCGTAATCAAGACGAGTCTGAGATGGAGATCATCTATTCTGGCGAGTCGGATGATGTATCGGACTCGAAGGCGACTCCTCACGCCTCCAGGTCACCCGGGGTGGACACTGCAAAAGCCAGGTTGATTGGCTCTGGTCAGCGTGGCAGTATCATGGACTAGATCATCGAATCGAGTGATTATTCCGATGAGTCTCCGCCTTACGCAAGTCCGTCTATCGATAGGAAGCGTGGGGATGGTGGTGATGCACCTATACATCACCACAAGCGAAGTAACTCGAGGGATCGAGGTGTCACTGGTGTCAGCGCTTACGCTGGCAACAATCAAGAGGCCAGGGACCGAAATGTCCTGCGCCACGGTCCCCAAGTGAGTATCCATGGATGCCGCCATCCAAAGAGTTGGACCGGGGGCCGGCATGACTACCGAAAGGGATCGAATCCCGTTGTTCGATTGCAGGAAGATTTGCCCACCTGATTCCAGCACGGAAATTATCCGTGCTGAGGAAGAGTTCTTCACCGATGCGTTCTTTAAACATCGGTGGTACAATGGTAGCCGTGTTCGGGACGGCAAAGCCTTGGTGCAGGGATGGAAGGCCCTCATCCACAACATCGAGTGTATTGACCGTGAGGCCATCGCTCGCCAAACTTGGTGCAGCTAGCATCAGGTTTGAGATACGCAACCCAGTAGGGGCGTGATAAAAGTTGCACCGGCTTTCAAGAGAGGCAGGATTACCCTGTCTCTCCTGGGGTGATTCAAGTCCAGGTTGCCTGGACAATTCGAACCGTGCCCCTAGGGAGGCCTACCTGCCTAATGATCCCTACTGTAGGGCGCACATCTCTTCTGAGGTGGCCGAAGGGAATGATACGTTGCAATCCCTGTACTCGCGTTCGGGGAGGTCGTTTTCCGACGGCCCTTCTTCAAACGCATCGGGTGGGTCTCAACGTACTGCTCGACGAGACCAAGGACATCAAAAATCAGCTGGGCACGAGGCTACCAGCTGTCCCACGCCGGTGGATAGCCACGCCAGCGGACGAGGCAACTCGTCCGGACGCCATTCACATCGCGGTGGCTCAAAATACGCTCCACTAGGAAGCGTTGACCACCGCTTGAGTTCACCAAAGGATGTGGTGGCGGTGGGAACACCTGATCCGGCTAGAGGGTCGGATCGAGTTTATGTTCAGGAGCTGAACCGTCTAACGGAACAGTTGCAAAAGGACCTGGCTAATGAACGAACTCGGCGTTATGGGCTTGAGGATCTTGTAAGAGTTAATTAAAATTCCCTAACGCACGATCGTTTGCGTTCGCGCAACTTGAGAACGAACGTTCGACTCGTTATCTTCGTGACGAGCTGGCTACAGCTCGTCGAGACATCGCTCAACTGCGATATAACGTCTCTTCACTAGTCGACCAGACTGGCTCGTTGATACGGGACCACCAAAAGGTGGTCTCGGCTCTCGACCTCGGAGGTGTTCTTCGCATCTCGAAACGGGCTCGTACTGATAGTACGAGCCGAGACGACCGACGTAACGTAGGCTACGTACGCATCTTACGGGGAAGTTCAATCATGTATTCTTGCCAATTTTTCGCAACACACGAAATAGACCGATGTACCTGGGCAGTAATTTACTGCTGCTCACGTTTTTCACTGCGTGCTTCGGTAAGTTTACTGTAGACAGTAAAACTAGGTCTCCTTCATCAAATGAAAGAACATTTGCTCTTCCATGTTTGTCTGCATTTCTCTTCGGTTTGTCTAGTGCATCTGCAATACAGTCTTGAACGAAGCGGACAACCGCTTCGCAAGTCAGCAGAAATACCTCTGCTAATTTATCCTTGTCAACAGCAGTGCGCTTCGTGTGCACTACTGAAAGAGCGTTTTCTTCACCAGTGAGGGCGTCAGCGTCCTCACTTTGGCAGTCATTGGCGATGCTGAACATTCCAGCATAGTCGTCGTCATCATCATCGATATCGATCGCATCGACATCGGCATCCATCACGTCGACACCATTTTCGACGGGTGATGAGCAAGAACCAGATCGGTTTTTGTTCGAGCGAGTCCACCCCCACCCCTTAAACTAGAGTCACACTCTGAGAAGGCGGGTAAACGTGGATGGCGTAGGCCATTCACGAAGAACGGTGTATGCGTTGTCGACGCGTGCACCGAGTTGTTGATGGCAAATTCCGCCATCGGCAAGAACTTACTCCAGCTCGTAAACGAGTGGACGTACCCTCGAAGTATCTATTCGAAGATGCAGTTGACGCGTTCCGTCTGACCATCTTTTATTTGATGGTCAGAAGTTGACATCGTCAAACATGTTCCAGGTGAATGGAACACGGATCGCCATAACTCCACTGTGAAGCGGGGGTCCCTATCAGACACGAGTTCACAGTGTAATCCGTGAAGTCGGAAGATAGTATCGATGAAGACACGCGCACAGCCCTGGGATGTGATTGACTCCGGTACAGCAACAAGATGTACCATCTTGCTGACCCGATCAACAAACATAAGAATACCAGTATTCTTGTGAACGTCTTTGGGAAACCCTAAGACGAAGTCCATCGATACGGACTGCCAACACTCTGCCGGAATTGGTAGAGGCTGCAAGAGGGCACGGGATGAAGGACTAAGCTTAACTTGTTGAAAAACTTCTCAAGCACGAATGTATTTGCACACAAACTCATACTGGCGGGCCAGTAGAAGTCACGACTCACCATGAGGTAAGTCTTTTCTCTACCGCGATGCCCACTTGTTGGGGCATCGTGACACTCAGACATGATGCGCAATCGCAAATCATTATGAGCTGGAACGATGACACGAGGTGTGTCACCGTTGACTGCTGTATAGTACAGCAGTCCATCACGGATAGAATACCATTCGGTTGAAAAGAGGTGTTGAGACGACAAGCTCTTCAAAGCTTGACTGCATGGATTGGATAAGTAATCCGTTCATCAACCGCAGAAGAGAATCATATTTTGTGCATGCTTTTGGCACGTCATCGAGCAGATACGACGACAGAACACTCACTGTTAGTGTTGAGACAGTGGGATCAACCCTACTGTTGGGTTGAGCAGTCGGCTCAAAATCGGGCCGACGCAAAAGAGCATCAGCGACGACATAAAGTCGTCCTGGTTTATACTTGACGATGAAGTTGTAATCCGCGAAGAAAGACAGCCACCTCGCCATTCGTTGCAAGAGGTGTGGACTGTTTACGGCCGTGCGTAACGACGCATGGTCGGTATAAACGATGAAAGGCCTATCTCCTAAGAGATATACCCGAGACTGGGCCAGTGCATATTTCATGGCAAGAAGTTCCTAGTCGTGCAACGGATAATCACGCTCAGCTGCTTTCAGCTGACGAGATTGACAGACGACGCGCTCAACGCCGTCTGAGTCGTACTGCATGAACGCGCAGCCGATTGCAAAATCTCTGGCGTCACAGACCACATGGAATGGTCTGTCCTGGTCTGCAATTGCCAACACAAGCGATTGCACCAAGCTTTTCTTGATGCCTATAAAAGAGTACTGACACTCAGCGCTCCATGACCCTCTCTCGTTTTTCTTTAGTAGACGAGAGAGATGTACGGTCATCTCGGCATAGTTACGCGAGTGTTTGTGCAAATACGCTGCCAAGTTAAGGAACGTTCGAAGTCCCTTGACGTCGACTGGCACAGGCCAGTCACTGATCGCCTTGAAATTTCAGGATCAGGGCGTGCACCGTATTTACCCACGGCGCAGCCATGAAGTGGTACTTCGTTCGATGCGAATATGCACTATTTGTGGTTCGCGAACAACTTATGACCTCGCATCAGTGTAAATGCCTTCCGGACGTGGATTCTATGAACCTTCACGTCCGTATTTCCATCCATAGCCCGGCTATGGACGAAGACAACGTCGAAGTAACTCGGTGCGAAACCGCGCACCGATAGCAACAGGTTCGTAACACATCTGTTCAACGTTGCAGGGGCGTTTCATAGTACCTTTTGCATCACTAGCCACTCCCAGAGCATACCACTGGGGGTGCTCACTGCTGTGCACGGGATGCCCCGTTCACGCATGAGGATCTGATGGAATCAATCCATCAAATCCATGGACGAATAGATGGTACTTTTTGCCACACCAGCTATGATGACATCCTTTCTTGGGATCGGCGTTTGAGCCGGTACCGTTGCAGCATTCAGTTTGTTAAACGCGTGAACTATCCGCCATCCTACTGTGGCCTTTCACACACAGAAGGTCGGAGAGCTGTGTGGGGAAGTTGATATCCTCATACGACCAGCCGCTAATCGATCGGCAAAGAATCTGTCAATCGCTGTGACCTGTTTACGAGGCAGTGGCCACTGCTTCATGACACAGTATTTCAAATCAAGTTTCATTTAGATCTTGTGCCGAGTGCCTTTGTCCTTAGGTAGCTCGCATAGCACAAATTCCTGAAAAACATCCCTAAATTCCACCAAATCCTTTTACAAAGGATTTATCTTTATAGACTTCCAAGATTGAGACGTGTATCGCTCTTTCCTGGTGTTCTTATTGAGGACACTCTCATCCATCGATGAACTACTGAGAACCCGTTCGTTCTCAGTAAACACTTGTGCCGACCGAATATCGGCGACGTACTCGTCCTCTGTGACGAGTACGCAGATCTGCTTGATCTTGTCGCTACGCAGATCTCGCAAGAATCTTTTAGATTCTAGCTTTGGAAACTTGATTACCTCCGAAGCTGACTTCGGATGCGCAATTTTATCATGGGTATCAGCGCCTACACTTGATTTGTCATTCACCAAGACAATAACTGACTCGGTGATTTCCTGGGAAAACACATTCGCAGGTGGTTGGGGATCCACACCCTCAACATAACTCTCTCGGGAGTGATTGCTCTCAGGAACACTGGATTTTTCTTCTGTTACGTGGACTATCATGGTCACGTCCTCTTCGATCGACTCTCTTCCAGTCGAGCGGGCTTGCTCTACGATCGACTCTCTGATAGTCGATCTCGCTTCAACGTGTTGTCCATTCTGAACAACACTAATCTCTCTTCTCGGATTCACCTTTCTTGGTGTGCATCCGTGTTCCAGTCCGCTCTATCTCTTCTAGTGGTGAACCTCTGGCGCAGCCTGTGTCTCTACACAGGAGCCGGAAGCTGGTTCCACAGTGCAGTGGCCTTCTA